TGGGGAGCCGCGCGCGACCCCCCGCGGCCCCGATTTCCCGTCGTGCCGCCCTGGGGAGCCGCGCGCGACCCCCCCGCGGCCCCGATTTCCCGTCGCGCCGCCCTGGGGAGCCGCGCGCGGCCCCTCGCTGCCCCGTGGTCGCGTTCTGGGGGCCGAGCGCCGTCCCCCTCGCCGTCCCCCGCGCTCCTTCCCCCGTTCCGCCCGTTTTTAGGGTTTGGGGGTGCGGAGTGTGGGGGTGGCAGCTCTGGGGGTGCCGTGTGTGTGCGCCGTCCCCTGCTCCTCCTCCTCCTCCGTCTCCCACTGCTGCAGCTGCCGCTGAGGGGGGTGGATGTGTGGGAGCCGAGGTTTAGGGTTTAAGGGGGGTGCCGTGGAAGTGGAGCTAGGGTGTCAGCAGGGGGTGTGTGAGAGGGGCGTGGGACGGTCGGGGGAGGTTGCGTGGAAGTAGCCGTCGTGACGCCAGCAGCGCCAGTAGTCCGGATGCCCTCGCGCGTTTCGGTAGCCCAGCGAGCCTGCTTCGCCAGTTGCCTGTGGGTCAGTTGCTCCTGTGTGTGCTCGTCGTAGCCGCGGAGCCAGATACTCCCGTAGTCCGGTGCCCTCGTGCGCTCGGTAGCCACTGTGCACGCCGCTCCTGTTGCCCGTTGTGTCTGCAGCAGATCGCCCCTCACAGTCTCTCCTCCTCCTCACTTGCCCTCTGTGACTGCCTCTAGCTTTACTTGCATTTGTGGACTTGATCTATGACTGGTTATTTGCGCTGATTACACCCCACTTTGGCTATGGGGGTGTGTCAGAATGTTGTAATTGTCTAGCCTGCAGTGGGGTACTCTATAGCGAGTACAACCCAAATTAGGGTTTCCTATATGTACCTTGCATGCTGCTAGTACAACCCCTCTTCTCTGTTCTATCTTTCGCACTACTATCTCGATAGCATGTACCTGTGCACGGAGCGCACACGATTATAAAAGTTACAAAGTGTAAAAATACAAGTGACCACGTGGCTCCGCGATCGCCACCCAAGCTGGACGCACCACCCAAGTCATGTCCTTTTCTGTCGTGGCGTGTGGCACGTGGGGGTGCTCGGTTTTACAGTTGAAAAATGTATCCTGCGTTGACTCGCGGAACAAGTAAATTCTCGCGAAAGTCACGCCGCATTGTGGAATGATTTCGCCACTGGTACAATTTGGTTACTGGCGTCATGCAACGGTTCAATCCGTTTTAATTCTGTTAACTCGCATGAAACTCATGTGAGTCACATTAGAGGCACATGGAAGTTATGAGTGCTCATGTGAGGAGTCAGCAGGGGCAATTGTCGTAAGTGAAATTTGGAAGGTTTTACAAGAGGGGGAAGAAGAGAATAGCCCAAGAAATTGAGCACTCGTTTTCAAGTACAGCATGGCAAAGATCCTAAATTCAGTTTGACAACTGCTTTGCTATTTTCCTTTGCTTGTGTATTAGATGATCCATAAAATGCTTGCTTGTGATAAACCATTATGGTGGAAATATTTTCTGAATCTCTTTGACGATTTAAGTTGCTCTATCAACGTATTGACGTGAAGAGCTTTTCTGCACACGAGCCAATCCGTCGTTGAATGTTGTGCAACGAATTTCAGGAATGCTCTGATACACACGACTATTTTTGCACTTAGGCAATTCCCTCTACAAACACAGACCCTTGGATGGGGGCTGGTTTTACCCGGCACACAAGGACCCTTGGAGGTGACCCCGTGGGGACTACCTAGTGTGATTTAAAGGTGCGTATAGATCCCAAATAGCTGTCACCATTATCATGGTTGGGTAGACTGTATTGGAGGGTTATAATTTGGATGCCTAGTAAGATCAACGTTTTATATTAGAAAGTTTTGTAGTCGCCACAAAATGTACACCCAGTTAAAAGAAACGGCTATCAACGCCGTTGCTGTTGCAACTACTACCAGCCAATGGAAATTCGCTTTCGCACACTACGGATCTAGTTCGATTGGTCCACGTGGCATGTTTCGCGCAACGATATAAATCTGATCCGACAGTTGTCGTTAGCGTACGTTGGTTGTCACGTCTGCATGTTTGAGTTTCGCCTTGAGTACGTATTATGCCACGTGGTGGTGTCGCTACAATTTCGCTAAGATTGCTTAACTGTTGCTTTGAGGCCGTGTTACTGTATACCTTACAGTTGCGTCAATGTGTACAGTTTTTGCCATGAAAGTGACGGGAAAGTCACTTGAGCCACCACTGTTTTTGACTAAGATTTTTTTTTTTTTTTTTTGTGAAATGCAACGAAAAAGTTACGGGGCACTAACTTTTCAGTTGTTTTTCGCCCTTCCCTTTTCTCCGATGCTGGAGAGATCGATGCTCACTACACCACGAGCAGACTTCGTATACACGCCTCGAGATGCTGCATTGTATCATGGCCCTTTTCCTAACTGCGTGCAAAATATATTTCAGCCGGCGTTCCAAATGGTCGGACAAGAAGAAACGTGCTACGATCAACCACATCAAAGCTGCCTCAGCGCTTCGACTCCTCACCTTCGGCCGAGATGGCACCCCACAGCTTGTTGGGTGTTTAGGTTTGAAAATTGTTCGGTCTAGGTGCGACGCTGGTTCGGCACTGCTTCGAAGGGGCGTGACTCACACGGCCCTAATTTGGCCCCTTCTTTGCTGTTCTTTGGCCCTAATTTGGTCATTTCCGTCGAGAGTCCCGGCTGATGAACGATACATCTCATCCCCCATAGAAGCTTCTGGAGTTTTAGTTGTACAACCCAATAAAGGCTTTTGCCTTCATTTTATCCTAGATATACAAGTAACGCTGTTTCTAGTGTAGGTCTACTAGACCTTGGCTTTAAGCCATGCTTGTGGTGGGTACCTGTACACGGTTACGACCATAATAAAAGACCTCAAAAACCTTAAACCCTCCCGCCATGGCCAGCTTCGACAAATACGACCAAAGATATTCCACTGAAATTTGCAGCTCTTCCTACAACTCAACCACGGCGCGTACTTGCATACTTACAAGCTAATTCATCTCAACGAACGAAAATGGCCGCCCTCTGAACCACTCTAACCACTCTAAACTTGTCTAGCTTCCCTCCCGCCACAGATTTGTTCGCGTATGTGCGACGTGGTTGTTGACTAGAAATAAATCCGGTTTCATCCATGTTATAGACATCCACGGCCTCATAGCCATAATCCTTGAGGATCTTCGGAATGGCCTCCCAAGCGAGGCCAATGGATTCCGCATTAGCATCCTTTGTCTCGCCGTTCCTCTGATAGGATAACATCCCCATTCGTGCGAGCGCGCGGCATAACCACCCGGGAGAAACCTTGAAGTCGCTCGGAAGACGCATCACTTACGCTAATGCTTCGGATTTTTTAAGAAGGACGTGGAAGGTGATCGGTAAGTTTGCTGCAATGTGTCTAACTGCCCACGCATGCAGCCTGGCCTCAAGGGCGGGGAACTTGCCCTCGAGGAGGCGTTTACGGTCCATTAGGAGTAAAGAAGGGGCTGTCCATTTGGCGCGGTCTTTGAGAATCTGACAAACCGTTGGACGACATGGGTGTTTTTTGAACTGTTTGAAGCACCATAACGTCAGCTCTTTCTGCGACAAATTCTTGTTCCTAATGCGAAACTCACATAATGCTGCTTTCTCTACACGAGTAAGAGCTGTGCTTTTTCTAGAAGTCATCATTCTGTTATGAAAAGTAGGAGGGGTGCTGCTACTTTGAGAGAAATGGCACTCTCTGGTGTCGAATGGGTTTTTGCGGAAATTTCAACGTGCTGGCGATGCGACCTGCTCATATGGAATTGTAAAGGAGTTTGTGCATTCATAACGTTACACGTCAGATTCATGAGCTCGTCAGTTGGGGTCAATTCGTGCATTTATCTGTGTGGTAGCGTTTCTGGCGTTTCGATTTTGCCAATGCGTTGTTTACACGTGACGAAATTGAATCATCGGCAATCCGAGGAATGCCGATGTGGGTTGAGGCATAGGAACCGAAAACGTGTTTCGCGCCCGGGTCAATCAATTAATGCCCCCTTGCTGACTCAGACGCGCGTGCACCCCCTTGGTCACTTTTTGGCCGCCCGAGGTCAGACTGCCCTAGAAAAGGACAAAATGCGTGAAGATAAGGGGTGTGGAGATAACGCAGTTTCGGTGTACAACACGGCCGAGATTTCTGGTCGTGCATGATTGCGCACCTGAGGGTTGCGCGCGTGTTTCGGGGGGTGCTATGGGATCGCGAGGGATGCTCGAGGTTTGACTCGAGATTTCAGTTAAATAAAATTCATTAGACTGGGTTTGACCAGCAACTTGATCGATTTTGTGTGTTTTCGGGGTACCACCGCGAAATTGTTCCTGCAACTAGCCCACCTTTGGCACCCTTTGTCAGTTGCACCATATGTAATTCGTTTGACACTCAAACGCCTACCAACCATGCGACATCTTTAGGGGTCGCATGTACCTGTGCACGGAGCGCACACGAGTGGCCACGTAAGCAAGACGAAGCTGACCACGCTGCTGCAACTCTCACGCATGGAAGTAATGCAGAGCGATGTGCTTCGTTCTGTGCTCCAGTCTGTGCTCTTGACACAAGGCAATAGCAGCCTCGTTGTCTACGTACAGAACTGGAGGAGAACGAGGCCGCTCTCCCAAGTCGGTCAGCAGGTAGGTGAGCCAGCGTAACTCCTGCGCAGCCATGGCTCCCCCGTAGATCTCAGCCTCACAACTCGATCAGAGAACAGAAGAAGAGTGGCTAGACCGCCAAGAAACAGAGCCGGAACCAAGGCTGAACGTGTAACCCTGTGACGACCGCTACGTAGCCAGGTCGTCAACCCAAGAGGCGTCTAAGTGTCCAGTGAGGACAATGTCACCCCGTCCTCCAAGCACCAGCCCCATGCCCGATGTACTGCACAAGTAGCGTAGCACCCTCTTAGCAGCCTCCCAGTGCTCTCGCCTGTGTCTCCCAGGCGCAACGTAGCGAGCCAGGATGCTAAGAGGGTACGCAAGGTCAGGTCAAGTGCAAGTCATCAGGTATATGAGGCAGCCCACAAGCTTTCGGTACGGGCCACTCGGCTCTACGGACTTGTCCGAAGGTGGAGCTGAGAGCGAGTGACCGGTAGGCAGAGGAGTGGACTGTGGTGAGGAGAACTGGAAGCCGAAGCGCTGAAGGACCTGCTGCACCATGTGTGACTGAGTCAGGGTAATGGTGCGGCGTGCTCTGTCCCGGGTGATCTGCAAGCCGATGTAACTGCGCAACTCACCCACGTCTGTGCACGTGTGTCTCTTCTGCAGCTCTGACTTCACAAGGGCGAGTGCCTCAGTGTCAGCAGTGGTAAAAACCAAGTCGTCGACATACACGAGGATGTAGAACGGCGGCAGCGAAGTGTCGGTGCGGAGAAACAGCGACGGGTCAGCAGTCGAAGGAGCAAACCCAAGTGCCGCAAGTGTCGTCCTCAGTGTGTCGTGCCACTCACGAGGCGCCTGGCGGAGACCGTAGACTGGCTGCCGGAGGCTCCACTGGGTACCAGGAGGGAATGACCCAGTGAAGCCAGGTGGGCGGCGCAGCCAGATCTCCTCGTGCAGGGTGCCATGTAAGAACACTGTGCTGAAGTCAAGAGAGTGAAGCTCGTAGTCACGCTGAGCAGCAACTTCGGGGTAGGGGAGAATGTCTGGAAGATGTCAACTCCTTGTCGTTGATTGAAGCCTCATGCAACGTAACGAGCCTTGAAGACAGGCAGAGAACCCGGCGGCCGCTTCACCCTGAAAATCCACATGCCATCGACTATGTTCGCCCCAGGAGGGGGAACCTCGTTGACGTAGGTGCCTGTGGACTTCCAGGATGCCATCTCTGCGTCCATGGCTGTCTGCCACTGAGACAAGTAAGGACCCGAAAGTGCCTCTGCGTAAGAGCGCGGGGTCGGGATGTCTAGTGCATCCGGGTCTCCCTCAGGTGCAAGCAGCCAGGCCACGAGATGAGGTACAGCAGTCGCAAGAGAGTCAAAGTCCTCCTGCCTATCCTCAAGGACGTCCGTGCCAAGAGCAAACTCACCCCCGACGGACGGAGGACAGACACACTCAGACTCAGCAACAAGACTAGCGGCGTAGTCTAGACGACACGCAGCAGCAAAGTCCACAAGCTCAGCAACTAAGGCAGACGCAGCAGTAGACTCAAACGACGGGTCAGTGACAACAGTAGCCAGGAGGCGGGTTTCAGTAGGGGTGGCAGCACGAACACGGGTAGACTCAGGGTCCAGAAAGACAAGGAGAGAGGAGGCAGGAGGAGACGGCAGGGGGACTCGCTGTGGAACAGAGGAAGGACGAAGTGCCATAGTGTGAGTACCTGTGACAGGAGGAGGACGCGGACGCGGAACACGACGGGCATGGTGAACAGGGGAGGCAAGACGGGACACAGGCTCACGACGCTCTGTAAGGGAGACCGGCTGCTCAGTGTAACGAGACGGGGCAGGCAGCGGTAAGTCTTGAGGAAGGGCAGTGGACGAAGGAAGACCAAGAACCTGGCGGAGCGCCAACTCGGGCAAAAGCTCTGACAGCGGCGGCGGCGGCAAGAAAAACGGTCGCTGCTGCACAGGGCCTCGAGCGCCAGAGCCTCCAGCGCCAGCACCTTCAGCTCCAATAGCTCTAGCGCCAGTGCCTCCAGCTTCGGCGCCTCCAAATCTAGTGCCTCCAGCTCCAGTAGCTCCAGCTCCAGCGCCTCCAGCTCCAGTGCCTCCAGCTCCAGCACCTCCAGCGTCAGGAACTCCAGCTCCAGCGCCTCCAGCGCCAGCGCCTCCAGCTCCAGTGCAGCCAGCTCCACCACCTCCAGCTCCACTACCTCCAGCTCTAGCGCCTCCAGCTCCAGCACCTCCAGCTCCAGCACCTCCAGCTCCAGCACCTCCAACTCTTGTGCCTCCAACTCCAGCACCTCCAGCTCCACTGCCTCCAGCTCCTGCGCGACTCCGAAGGCGGGTGCGCAAGCCACTCGCGCAGCTGCTGTGGTGAGAGAGGCTCCCGCTGCTGCACAGGGCCTCCAGCTCCAGCGCCTCCAGCGCCAGCACCTTTAGCTCCAGTAGCTCCAGCGTCAGAGCCTCCAGCTCCAGTGCCTCCAGCTCCTGTGCCTCTTGCGTCTGGACCTCCAGCTCCAGCACCTCTAGTGCCAGTACCTCCAGCTCCAGGGCCTCCAGCTCCAGTGCCTCCAGCTCCAGTGCCTCCAGCTCCAGCACCTCCAGCTCCAATACATCCAGCTCCAGCGCCTCCAGCGCCAGGTACTCCAGCTCCAGCACCTCCAGCTCCAGCGCCTCCAGCTCCAGTGCCTCCAGCTCCAGCACCTCCAGCTCCAGTGCCTCCAGCTCGTGCGCGACTCCGAAGGCGGGTGCGCCTGCTGTGGTGAGAGGGGCTCATGCTGGGGAGACTGCTGCGGCGAGGCTACCACTAGCAGAAGCAGCACCACCCGGCTCAGCACCCTCGGAAGCAGCACACCTAGGCTCAAAACCCCTAGGCTCAGTACACTCAGGCGCAGCGCCCCCAGACTCAGCACCCCTAGGCTCAGCACCCCCAGGCTCCGCACGCTCAGGCGCAGCACTCCTAGGCTCCGCACGCTCAGGCTCAGGCGTAGCACTCCCAGGCTCAGCACCCCTAGGCTCCGCACCCACACGCTCAGCGCACTCAGACGTAGCACCTCGAGCAGGACCACCCCCAGCAGCACCTGAGGCAACAGTGACCTCGACAGGCTCAGCCAAGGGAAGTGGGTCTACCTGAGACACACCTGAAGGAGCAGGACCCTGAGGGGGGAGGGGGTCTACCGGAGGGGGACCAGGAGCAAGTAAGAGCGGCGGGGGGGGGGGAGAGGGGCAGTGCGGTAGGGGAAGAGTCGGTAAAAGGGAACCGACTCGTCAAACGTGACGTCTTGAGAGGGGAAGACATGGCGCGAGGTGGGTTGGTAAAACTGCCAGCCAGGCGCGTTAGGGGGAAAGCCAAGGAAGACGCAGGGAATGGCGCGAGAGGAGAGCTTGTCTGCGGTGGTATCGCGGACAAAGGCACGAGAGCCCCAGACCCAGAACCGCGACGCATCGCCAACCTCCCCCGTCCAATGCAATGTGGACGAGGTCTCTGGCAAGGAGACACGGGGCTAGAGGTTGAGCTGATGCGCAGCGTACCGGACCGCAAACGGCCACAGAAAATGGAGAGCAGCTGCATGGATCATGGAGGTACGAGCCACCTCCATGACTAAGCCAATGCGGCGCTCAGCGACCCCATTCTGCTGCGGAGAGGCCGGAAGCATGAACGACTGGAGGATGCCCTCCCCCTGACAAAAGTCCCGCAAGAGGTCGGAGGAGAACTCACCACCTCTGTCAGAGTGCAGACGCAAGACAGGAAGGTCCGTACGGAACCGCTCGCGGAGCTGGAGACGTACAGCGCGGATCCAAGGGATCAAAACAGCAGGGACCTCACCCTTGGTGCGCAAGGGAAAGACCGTGGTGTAACGGCCCAGTCCAGTGACGCGGGCTGGGCCCCACACGTCCATGTGGAGAGTCTGCAGGGGAGCAGCCGTCAGGGGAAACGAGGAGGAGTGAGGAGCGGCGCGCTGCCGCCCCTCGACGCAAGGAACGCAGGGCGGGGCAGGCGAGGGTGGGAGGGAAGGAAGAGACCTGGGAAGACCAGTGACAAGGAGGCGGGAGTGCATGCCACGAAGGCGTGGCAGGGAGGGGTGACCAAGGCGGTGGTGCCAAAGGAGAGTTTGGTGCGACAGGTGACGACATTCGCAGGGGGGAGCTACCTGACCTGACGCGGCCACCTGACCAGACGCAGCAACCTGAGGAGGCTCAGTAGTCAGTGTGTACAGACTCGACCCAGGCCGACGGGTGAATGTGGCCAGGTGACGGCCTGTCCGGGAGCACGTGCAGATTGCCACAAGCTGGCCTCCAGGGGTAAAGGTATCAACCCACTCATCCTGAAGAGCCGCGGTACTCACCAGGTTCGTCGAGAACGAGGGGAGGTGGAGACCTGACAGCGAGCCGGACGGAACCGCCGGGCATGGGAGCACAGTGGAGGAACGTGCAAGAACCGGACCCCCAGAGGGGTCAGCCAGGGAGACCGCAACCGGTCTAGGGAGCGGTGTGAGTGCGGTACTGTCGCGAAAGAAACAGCGGGAAGCACCTGAGTCAAGCGTGAAGGTGTGCAAGGCCTCAGCAGGCGCAGTACCAAAGAGAGCAGACTCACTAGCACCTAGAGCAGCAGCCTCTATACCTGGGTCGGGCGGCACACATAGGTAGGAGTCACCCCCAGTACCAGCAGTCAAAGCATACATGGCAGTAACGATATCGTCATAGTCTAGAGAAAATATATCCATACTGTGACGAAGCAGCTCTAACCAGCGAGGGAGCTCAGCCTCGTCACCAAAATCTGCACGCTAGGCGTCGCTCAGATAGGAGAAGCAGCGGGACTGTGTGTGGCCATGTGTCCAGCAAGTCTGACCAGCCCGATCACCTGTGCGAATGACGTACGGGCAGCGAGCACTACTCCGGGACGTCCCACGCTGAAAAGGCCACTCACGAAGCTGCTGAGGTGCAAGGGTCTCGTGCGGACGCCGCTGTAGCTGCATCTGGCCACCGCCAGAAACTCTGCACTGAACAGCTCCACCGCGACTGCCACTACGGCCGCCGCCACCACTCCCACTGCTGCCACCACCGCCGCCACCACTCCCACCGCTACCACGAAGAGATGTCACAGTGGGCAAAGTAAGGAGGCGTGCGACCAAAGTAGGGCGGGTCGGTGCACGGTCAGGGAATGCGCGGCCAAAGTAGGGCGGCGCGCTGCAAGTAGGACGTGCGGGCTGGGGAGGGCGTGCGGGCATGCAAGGGGCAGCGCACGGGCTGCAGAGGGCGGCGCGCGGGCTGTAAGGGCGGCGCGCAGGCAGCTAGGGGCGGTGCGCGGGCTGTAAGGGCGGCGCGCGGGCAGGAAGGGGCAGTGCGCAGGCTGCAAAGGGCGTGCGCAGGCGGCGCACGTGCAGGGCAGGGCGCGCGCAGGCGGCGCGACGGGCAGGGCAGGGCGTACGCGCACTGCGCGACGCGGGGCAGGGCGTGCAAGGGCGGTGCGCGGGCAAGGAAGGGCACGCGCAGATGGCGCGATGGGCAGGGCAGGGCGTGCGCGTGCTGCGTGACGCAGGCAGGGCGCGCGAGGGGGGTGCGACGGGCAAGGTAGGGCGTACGCGCGCCGGCAGGGCAAGGCCAGGGCGCGCGGGGAGGGCACGGCCAGGGCGCGCGGGCTGGGCAGGGCCAGGGCGCGCGGGCACGGTAGGGCCGGAGCGCGCGGGCAGGGCAGGGTGTTGCGCGCGGGCAGGGCAGGGCCGGGCGCACGGGCAGGGAAGGGCATTGCGTGCGGGCAGTGCAGGGCCGGGCGCGCGTGGGCAGAGCAGGGAGCGGGCAGCGCGACGCGGGGCAGGGCAGAGTGCGCGGGCCGCCCGACTGGTAGGGCAACGGGTGGGGCAGCGCTACGAGCAGGAAAGGTCGGGTGGGCCCTAACGAAGACGGTCCTTGAACAGGACCTGCTATGAAACCATGTCAAAATCTAGCAGGAAGAATGTGTGCACTAGGCAGGAATGAGGTACAAATATGGCAAACCCTAATTGGGTTGTACCCCTTATGGGCTACCCCACTATAGCCTACACAACATATTTTGACAGTGTTCAAGGAGCGAGTTTGACTTTTTAGTTTTTGAGCGAGCTGTTTTGGAGGTTCTAATTGGCTGCCGTTCGAAATGGCAGTTGCTCATGAGTTCGAGCGAACAGCTGCACATGCTGCCACTGTTCGAGGAGTGAGATTGGTCCTTGTTCGTGCAGCGTGTTCATTAGCGTGTTCGTTAGCGTGTTCGTTAGTGTTTTCATTAGCGTGTTCATTAGCGTGCTCAGTCAGCCGAGCGTCATATGCTCGCGAGTCGATTTTCAGCGCCGGTGGGGAGATGAGCGAGATTTCGAGTAAGTTCGGTTGCTCTTGTTTTTTTAGTAGCACTGACAGTTCGGATCAAAGGTAAGTTCGGAAGGAGGGCACGTGGCAAGCAGCAGTTGAGCGATCGAAAGTAGTGTTGATCGCCACCGACATTTCGACTCGTTTAGGTTTTGAACGGACTTCATTGCAATCGTTAGATATTGGCGCGAAGTGAAATTATCGGATCGGCACCGTCAACATTGTTCGCGCGCGAAAGACAAAATATTTCGGCGACTCATCGAGTGTGCGTCAGGTCACGAAGGGAATGGGAGGGAACCTATAAATTTGCTCGCGCTACAAGGTGTGTATTTGAAACACCTAGATCAAGGTAGGAGTAGAATGATTTAGCTTAGTATAAAACTGTTTGTTCTTGTTTGGTTTTAATATAACTTGAGTGAAGGATCTCTCCTGTGCGTGCTGCAAGTACGCTGCCATAGTTTATACTCTTGACAACGCCAAGGAAACGACCCTTGATACTACACTTTAGCTGTTGCTACGACTCTCTGTCTTCACACTCGGACCCTTGGATAGGGGCTGACCTCAATCAGGCACCCAAGCACCCTCGGAGGTGACCCCGAAGAGAGAGTTCTAGTGCACCTAAAGGTCGTTAGTAGCTACTTTAGTACGTTTTAAGACTAACACGATCCTTGCACAACAATACGTCTTTCCACATACGGTTCTCAATATACAAACACCACGGGTGATTGCTTCGTCATACACAACGTGCATTCTCGTGACGAGAAAATGTGATTTTTTTTTCTCGCGCACGAGATGTTTTTCCCCATGCACAAGTTTTGACACACTCAAACATCACAAACAAATACTTCTTTCGTACCAGCAAAGTGCATTTATTTATCCTCATGCACGAGATATGTTTCCCCATGTACCTGTAACATATGGTTTCATCCATGCATACGTTACGTTAAATACTTCATCCCAATGCGGAATGTGCATTGCCATGACGAGGAAAACCATTTATCCTCGTGCAAAAAGTGATTCCTCCCTATGCACGTGAATGGGAAAACACACCAACATCACCGTGATACATGTGTTTATCTCGCAAAATGTGAGCTTCCAAGACGACAAAACAAAAACCATTTACATCTTCCGCGCACAAGATGAGTCTCCCCATGCACGTGAAATGTGCAGCTTGCAATATGCAAACCTCATGGAAAATCACATCATCACGCGCATCGTTCGTTCTTATGACGAGGGGAAAAAATGTTTTTTTTCCTTACGAAGGAGACGAATTTAGCTATGCACTAGCAACAAATGGTTCGACGCACACAAATATAAAAAAACAAACATATACATTTTCACGCGCAACGTGTGCTTTTATGATGCGGAAAACCATTTATATCCTAGTGCAGAATGTGTTCTGCCTATTCACGTGCAGAAGGTGCTTATCCCTATGGACGTGAATGGGAAACATACGAATAGCACCGCTAAACATGTACATTTCTCACGCAAAACGCGCGCTTTTGTGACGACAAACAGAAACTATTTACATCTTTCGTGCACAATATGTGTCTCCCCATGCACGTGAAATGTGCGGTTCTCAACACGCAAACTTTACACGGAAATTGCATCGTCACACACATCGCCTGATTTTATGACGAGGAAAAATTGTTTGTTTTTTCCTCATGCAGGAAATGTGTTTAGCTATACACCAGCAACATATGGTTTGACACACGCTAATATCACAAACAAACATGTATTTCTCGCGCGCAACGTATGCTTTAATGACGAGAAAAAACCATTTTTATCCTAGTGAAGAATGTGCTTTCTCCCTATTCACGTGCAGAACATGCGTTCTCCCTATGAATGGGAATGGATGAGCTCACGAACATCACAGTTAAACATTTATTTCTCAAGTTAAAAACCATTTTTATCCTAGTGAAGAAGGTGCTTCCGTGACGACAAAAAAAAAAAATCATTTACACCTTCTACGCACATGATGTGTCTCCCCATGTAAGTGAAATGTGCGGCTTTCAATATGCAAACATCACGGAAAATTGCACCGTCACGCCACGCACATCGCTCGTTCTCATGATGATGAAAAATAGGTTCGTTTTCCTTCATGTAGGAGATGTGTTTACCTATGCGCCAGTAATGTATGGTTCGACACACGCAAACATCACATACAAACATTTATTTATCATGCGCAACATTTATTTATCATGGTTCCAGTGTTTTTATGACGAGGAAAACCATTACTATCATCGTGCAGAAGGTAATTTTTCCTATGCACTTGATTGAGGAACACACCCGAACATCACCGTTTAAGATTTATTTCTCACGCACAACATGCGCCTTCATGACGACAAAACAAAAACCATGTATATCGTTCGCGCACAAAATTTGTTTCCCCATGCACGTGAAATGTGCAGCTCTCAATATGCAAACATAGCAGAAAATTTGCATTTTCACGCATATCGTCCATTCTTATGAAGAGATTTTTTTTTCTTAAGCAGGAGATGTGCTTACATATGCACCAGTAACATATGGTTTGACAAATGCAAACATCACATATAATTGCTTCGTCACGCTCTACGCGCGCCCTTACGATGAGGAAAAACAACCCCTTTTTTCCACGCACGAGATTTGTTCACCCAACCACAAGCAACATATGGTTCGACAAGCACAAACATCACAAACAAATTATATCCTTCTCACACGCAACAGCCGTTTTCATAACGATGGTGTAAGGAATTAGAATTCCTTACTGTAGTAAGTTGTTAGCGAGGACATCCCGAGGGTGACGCGACAAACCTGTTCGGCCTATTTCGTCGGCCAAACCGCTTCCGAGTCGGCCCCCGCTCCAATCGCAACATCATCGAGCCATCCTTTCCCGACCTCCCTGCCTAGCTAGCCTTCCCCCTATATGGTCTCGCCACTTTGTGTGTATCATGATTCAGTAGTTGAACTTTCTCGATATTCGTTATTCGGCGCACTCTGCAAGTTCATTCATAACAGATGGAAAGCATTTCAATCCTAACGCACGAGATGTATTTCGTTATGCATGTGTAATTATGGTTGTGAATACGCAAACGTCACGGATAATTGCTTCTTCAAGTGCAAAGCGCGTTCTCATGTCGTGGAAAACAATTTATTATCCTCACGCATGAGATGCGCTTCCCCAAGCACCAGTACGGCATGGTTCGACACATGCAAACTGTCAGAATGTTATTATTGTCTAGCCTGTAGTGGGGTGCTCTATAGCGAGTACAACCCAGTTAGGGTTTGCTATATGTACCCCAACTGCTGCTAGTGAAACCTCCTCTCCTTTCAATCATTCTTGCCTAGTTCTTGTGATATGCTATCAGAGCAGGTCGACCCCCTTGGGTCGATCCTGTGGGTGGGCCCG